CCAATTGCGACGAGGTAAACACAGTTAGTGCCCGGGGCACAGTGCCGCAAAACCAACCATACAGGACTGGATAGCATGAGCCGCTTCAAGACTCTACAAAAAGGCAAATAACACAATTCCATCCGCTACAACGGCATGAGGAAAAGGCTGGTCCTGCCGTTAGGCTCGAACCAGTGGAATGCGGTAGATCTACAGTACAACACTAAACTATCCGATGGCTTCCCTGTACGCGATGCGGAGTCCGTCAAACGCAAGTTCTACGCACTCAAGAATACGCGCAACCCGTCGGGAGATCTGGCGCGCCCGGCCGACGTTGCTCAAGTCAAACACGTATATCGTCGGATCGAAGGGAATTGTGGCGTAATAGTGTTGGACGATGCTGCCCCGTCTGTCGAGTCTTCGGCTAGAAGTTCCGCCCCATCAAACAGTACTTCACAGTATGAGGCAACAACTAATGCTGAAGAAGCACAAGCACTGCAAGTGCAGAGCCAGCCTGCGTCTGGCAGATTGTCATCCACTGTCAGTGGCGAAGTTAACAAGGTACAGTATCACAGTGCATACATATTGCAAAGTATCACACTAAAATCAAATGTAAATATGATATATTGACAGAGTTTGCTTGACGTGCCTGTTGCCGGGATATTTCGCACCGGAAAGACAGCGGAAGAGCTGGGGCAGCTAGGAAAGGAACTGCATACTGGATCTAAGGATCTACTGTCACAATCGGCTAAGAAACGACGCAGGATTGATCGCCTGCTTGAAAACCTAGAGTCAGACGACAGCGCGGATTGGTGCACTGCTATTATTGCCATGGAGGAGCGTGCCGCCGCTCGAGAGATGGATTATCGCTGAGAGCTCGACACACAGCGTCGTGCGGATGAAGAACGGAGAGACCAACAAGAAGCACGTCGTGAAGAGCGATTCTGGCCCTGATTGCAGAGATTGTTAAAAAAAAAAAAAAGAAAAAAAAAAAGACTAGAACAAGACATTGAGAAGAACGGCGATGTATGCATTTACTTATGCATAAAACGGATCGAATCTGACTAATTCGCGTTTGTCGAACTCTAAAGTTGTAAAGACGGTAAATGTTTTGAATTCGCCTACCTCGCTTGGCAGGATCAAAGGGCAATGGCAATTGCAGTTGCCGATAACACCGAGGTGCACTTTCCATGCCCCATTCGGCTCCTGCCGGAGTGATGTGATTGCGTTGCTCATAGCAAGCATTCCTAGGCGGCACCTTTCGGGTGCACGCTCCAGATCGCCATCCTTCAGTGGAGTTACGATACGTCCTCGAGTCCCCTTGCTTGCAGGAAACGCTGTGTCAGCAGCCACACCGGTACCTGGAACTGTAATGCGAACATCGGCTAGCTTCTCCTGTAAGGCGAAGCTCATCTCGCCGTCGTTCCATGAACCTGGACAGTTGAGCTTCGCCCAAATTAGAGTGCCGTCGCAACCGTAGCATAAAGTCCCCGTTATGAGTACTGAATGCAGCCAACCTATAAAAAAACAAAAGTCATTAAAAATAAAAGCAAAATGTTAACATCGCCACCATACACTTACCATTGTAGTGCGCATTTTGTAAGTCAACATCCGATGGCTCTTGAACTCGATAGTTTTTCCCATCGACAAACCCCCATACGCCAGAAACCAAAGGCTCATGGGCTTGTACTGCTTTTGACCATTCCAGTTGTGTATTCTTTGTGGGATAGCAAATAGCTGCGTCAGGAAGTGCATTTAGAGCTAGCTCAAGCGCCATTTCAGCCGTAGCTAGAATATTTGATAGCGTAGCAGGTGGAACTCCAAATATCTCGCACAAAGTCTTCATTTCCACAGCACTTGTGTAGAAATGTAGTACACAATCGAGCACAGCATGAAGAAAGCGTAGCTTGGGAGGGCGACCTAGTCTTCCAGGACGCCACTTCAACTTGTAGAGCTTTGAGAACTCTGCAAGGAGCACCTTAAATGAAGCGGGGGGAAGTGAAACAGCCGCCACGAAGCTACCAGGATGGCCTTCATTGTCGAGCCGCTGCCAAGCCGAGCTCGTAGGGTCACACAGACTTGCCACAGTAAGATAGTTCCTCTCCTTGATAGTGCATCTAAGGAGGTGCAGCAGCAGAATCTTCCAGTAGCGACGCTTGTAGACAGCCTTCCTCACACCAAGTAACGTGCTCACTTTCATCGGAAGCTTCACCACCAAGCTTTTGCTAGCAGCACTAGTTTACGAGCTTTTATTTTTTAGATTTGTAACGCAAATATCAGCGCAAATGTAGGGGTAGGTGATCATATTATTGATAGCAAATTGCTACAGAATCGTCGTTTGCGTCATTTTCTGTAGGCCTCCAATCAACAATCTTATTGCGAATATTGCCGCTATACTCCTATACACCAATCAGAACCATAAAATATTGATTCCACCAATATGATTGTCCCAAACGAACCCACAGGGAAAGCACGATGGTTCGCGCGCTCTTGGCGCCAAAACTATGACCCTGGGCACCTCCTACTGTTTACCAGTCTCCTCACTCTTCAATTTCCATCCTGCTATTCCTCTACCTACCTCCAATCACCTCTCAGTCGTCGCTAAAACATGAAAAACGCCGATATTGTACCCGTGCTGTTTAAGAACACAACTATCACTGATCGCACTTGCTGTATATGCGATTTAGTCGTCAAGCAACCCAAACAAGCTGGCTACAAGAACCTCATCTCGCACCTTCAGGCCCACCACAGTGGGTATGAAGATGTGGCGGCTGAGTGTATTAGAAAAGCATGTGCTCCTATGAGCAGCATGTTCGTTCATAAGGACACTGCTGATACGTACGGCTGGGCCAAGCTCGTTGCGCTCAAGAACTTTTCGTTTACGCATATCGACGACCCTGTGACCGTACTGCCGTACGCTACAAACCACTGGATCGCAAGACCCTACTGAAACGAATGACTTCGCTTGTTGGCGTGGTGAACGTCAAGATAATGCACGAGTTATCAGGTGAAAAGTTTGCTCTTGTCTTGGACGGCTTCACGGATGCTGCTGAGCACGCTATTGCCATTTTCGCTGCCACGAAAAATGGCATACGATTCCTGGCATTCTCTCGTTTCCTAGATGAGGTGTCGATGACTGCAGCTGAGCACATGGGATTCTTAGACATGGTTCTCGATCACTACAAGCTAGACATCGCTAATATGGTCGCCATCGTAGCTGATAACATGGAAACCAACAAAGCGATTTCCCGTCGAATTTCGGTTCCAT